AGATCCTTATTTTTCTTAAATAAGTATATTGTTAATAAAGTCAATAGGTAACATCACATACACAAAACGTTCATTTACTTTTACTTTATGGAATATTCACATTATTTACTGATTTAGTTACTGAAAAGATGACAAATATATTTTAAACATAAATAACTTAGATAGAAATATGAAATTGTACAAAATACGATCAATTAAATCATATTTTCATACAGGTATCAAGGTAATCAAATCTGAGTGTCCAATTTGTTTCAACTAAGTAACTTACAATGGTGTTTGAGATCCAGCAGATGTCAGTATAGAACAACACATTGATAAATTACAGGTATCAGTTTGTGGAACCTGCAAAAACCCTTCTTAAAAATGTATATACCTATAACTACCCAGCACTTTTATCATCTCATAAGAATCTTTAAAGACCTGATTTATTGAGATATATTTATGGATACAAGATCTCCACTGAAATGATCGCCGTTTTCTTCCTCATCTCCTCTGCAGGTCCAACCAACCCTTAACCAGAGCGTTATCTTTCTATCCATCATAAACGTAGTCAATGTATTACTAAAGTGTAATTTCTCTGACCACACCAGTCCTGTGCACCAACTGTCAAAAACACTGAAGCTAAGCCATTAGTTTAGATAGATTAATTTTGAAATAATTCAAACAATTTACCGTTTATTTTCCTTTGGGATCAATAAAGTGTTTTTTTTTTATTGATTTGATAAAAGAAAACCCTCTGCTTGCAACATTCAATTAAGAAGAATGCTCATATAACAATGGTTAGAATGTACAGCGTTAAAGGTAAAAAACGGGAGGAATAATCCATAAATTAAGATGATCAGCTTAGTCATTTGCCAGCTCTACCTTCTAAAAACTGAAACGTAAATCTCACCATAGCTATATGTTCTGTATGTGAAATCAGCCTTTCCTTTAAGTTTTTAGAAAGGCCCTTTAGAAATGATTTCAAAGAAGTTAATTCTCACCATAAAATACTGTATATAATGGGAGAAAAATGATTAGAGCATTTAATAATCTGATAGGTTTTGTAGAGATACATTTACAGGTCACAACAGGTCACATGGAAGCATTTTTTAAAAGCTTCTAGAGGACAAAGAAGAGAAAGCAAAACTTATTGCATTTTCTGGTAAACGGAAAGTACGCTGCTACGCCTGTGTGTAAGGAAACCACTCCTCTTCTACATGAACCAACCTTTTACCCTGCTTTTTGGTTGTATTTATTATATACCACACCTTCAAATCTGCTCACAGAAGTTGTGAACGAGTACTTTGCAAATAATCTGGTTTATTCTTTCCGACTTTTGTTGGAAAACTTGTTGAATCATTGATAGCCCCTGTGTTCTGGAATTGTTTTGGAAGCTTGTCTTGCTATTTTCTCTCCCTTTTTTCTTTGATGTCTTCTAAAACAGGTACTGTAAGAATTTTAGGTTAATAATTTTTACTAGATTGGATTTACAAAAGATTTAATGTTGCTGATTCATGTCTGTTTAATTTTGCAGTTTTTTATTTTTGGCCATGGATGGCTTTGTTTGCCAGATATTAAAAAAATTGGGACTAGACGAGTGGATAAGCAGATTTAAAGGTTAAGTACTCCATTGCATAAGTTTTCCCCAAATCTTTTCTGAAATACCTTTAACCTTTTAAAATATGTAATTTATTGTCAGCATTACACTTTTTATTTGCAGATCAAGGCATTAACAAGAAAAATATTTACTGCCTTGAGGATCAAGACATCGAAAATTTAATCCCCATAGTAGGACCGAGAGCACTTTTCAGAAAGGAACTAAAGCTGTTGAAGGTAATTTCCTACACAATGTGGCTTCTCATTATAATACCATCATATGAAGATGTGTTGCATCTAAACTGCAATATAATTTACATTTTGTTTTAAAAATGTATTTCTCCTCTGCTTATTGTAGCTGTTTTCAAAACACAGATTGAAAAAAATACAAAATAGCTTTATTATTGTTTATTTCTACCAACCAGTAGGGGACTGCAGCAAATTGGTGTGTAATTGGTGCTTAAAAATAAAACTAAATATCTCATTAGCAATCACAAGTTACTATAATCTTATGGATTATTGAATATAATACATATAATGGCACGAAGCCTTTACACATAAGATATAGGTTTGCACAAAAGGGTTTAATCCTAAGGGTTCAAATACTGAGCTTCTGGTCTAAATTACATGTGTATAAGTGGACTTGTTACAGGTCATCTGCAAAGATTCCACAAGCTAAACCGGTTCAGTACTGCCCCATTTAAATTAGTAAATTGCATGTGCCAGGGACATTTTAAAAGAGGCTGTAAACTACAGAGCCCAAAGGTATTAGTGGTATTGATAATAATTACAAAAATAATAATAATACAAATTATGAATATTACATATAGAGCTGTTTGGATAAGGATGTTACAGTTTGCATGCTCCCTCTGTGCATGTCTGGGTTCTCTCCGGGTACTCCAACTTCCTCCCACAGGTCTAAAACATGACTGTTAGGTTAAGTGGCTTCTCTAAATTCTCCTTAGGTCTGAGTGTGTGTGCATGGTTGTTTGTCCTGTTTGTCTGTGTGTTGCCCTGCGATAGGCTGGTGATCTGTCCAGGGTGGCTCTCGCCCAATGACAGCTGGAGATTGGCACCAGCGCCCCTCGTGACCCCAGCAGGGATAAGTGTGACGAAAAATGGATGGATGAATGTTACAGTAGGCTTACTTCGGAAAAAAATAAATAAATTAAAGTTGAAAATAACATTAGTTACATTTGCAAGTTTTAATATCTATCAGAAAAACTTTAAAAGCTGGCTGTCTGTTTCTCCCCTAAACACCCCTTCTTACAGAGAACCCTATGTTAGACATACAGTACGATCCCTCTCTAAATAGTTTAATTTACCTCCTGGAACACACATCAACTGCTTAATTTAACATATTTAGCCAAGTTTTGTCCATAATAATTCAATAACACATAACTGTGCTTTGTAATGAGCCTGTGAGAAGGAAACAAAGGACATATGTATATCCCACAATGCCACAATTGAGGGATGCATGATACAAACAGGCTCGCCTATGGTGGGATGGTTATTCTCTAGAGACTTTTAACGCTCAGTTTGTTTTTGTTTTACTAGACATGCAATGATATTTAA